GACCACAAACTTATTAAATATTATATGATTAATTTCTGGAAAAAAATGCAATAAGTAAATGATTATTCTCTCAAACTATTACTTTAAACCCATTAAATGTTGTATAATGAACTATTTTGAAGACAGTGTTATGTAAACTATTTTTAATTACCATAGCAATTTTTTTTACAATAAAATAATTTCTGAAACTTTTAAATGTATGTTGTATAATTATAAACAGAAATCACATATTAGAATATTAAAAATTATGTTTTAAAATTACACTGTTATCCTGTTGTGCTTTTTTCTATAGAAAAAAAGCACAATGGAACAGCATACGAATGAACAGATTCTTTTAAAGTGTTATAATATGTAAAATAATATTCGTTCCATCAACTTTGAGTTGGTTGCTTTTCTTTATTCATCACATTTAACACATTTACAACAAAATTTTATTTAAAATTAGGATAATAACTATTATTATAAAATAAGTTTATATTTTATGTTGCACTTAAACTACTAAAACACAGATCAAATTATAATTTATCCAACACAAACAAAAGTTACTAATTATATGCCAAACAATTAGCAGTTATGTGTCATATTCAATTTATTTTTTTATATTTGAATAATATCAAAAAGAAAATTTTAACTGAAATATTAATTTTTAATATTCTTCTTCTAATCCTCTTTTTTCTGGAATTAATTAATACGTTATCAATGTATTATTGGTAATAGGTTAATTTTAAATAAGAGGAAACTTCTAGGAGAATTTTAGAAAGAAAAAAAAATGCACAGAAAAATTACTCTTTGAATATTAATACATCAGCAATATGCTCTATATAACATTCTTTCAAGGACAGAATTTGAACAATGTGATATAAAATTAAAATATTTTAGTTATTTTATTGGCTTTCATCCTGTTATGTAATACAGATATCATTTCTAATGCATCCAATATAATACATAAATATTTTAATGATCTTCACTATATTAAATATCAGGGCTGTGGAGTCAGATTCAGAAAAAATATGTCAACTCCGACTCCCGCATTTTAAATTTACTTTAGTTTTTTATTTAAATGAAAGAAAATTGAATGATAAGCATATTATAATGAAAATTCGATTATGCTTGTTATGCAGCTTTTGTTTAGTTTTGAAGTGCAAATCAAAAACTGTTTTGTAAAATACAAATGAAATTCGACATCATATATCAAATTTATTATTACTCTCCTTAATATCATATTTGTAATCTCAATATTTTTTCCATTAGTTATCAAATTTTGCATTAAAAACCAATTAGCACTATATTAGAATATTAGAAACTGTAATAGATAATGATGCAATTTTTAAAAATGTCTTTCCTTCTGTAGAGTTTTTTGTTTATACATGTTTACAAAACTAATTACTTCATTCAAAAGTATCCATTTTGAATTAATTTTTTGTTTCTATAAATAAAATATTTAAGATGTTTAATATAAATAAATAAAATGCACTCTGACATTATTTCAGAATAATTTAAAATGATTTCACAAATATAATCATTAATAAAAAACATCAAATGATACAAATACTGACACACAACATATTAAAACCATGCAACAGGCATGACAAGAAGTATACTGTCACGTGTTACTAACACTGCACAGGATGCAACTAATTAAAACTTACTGCAACACCTTTCATTCCCATTCTTCCATCTTTCCCAGGAATTCCTGGGATTCCATTAGTACCATTTCTTCCAGCACTACCCTAGAATTAGTAGTAATCAAGTTTTATACATTCTTTAGTACAAGTAAATTATTCAGAGGTGTTTAAGTCATCTTTGTTGCCTAAATTAATTAATTATAATTTTCAGAAGATAAAGTAAAATTGATTTAAACTTATATTCATTGCTGTATTTAAATGGGATCATTTCTAAATGGGACAGAATGTCACAAAATGTGCTCACTGGCTCTCCTTTCAGACCAGCTGGACCACGTTCGCCTCTCATACCTGGAAGTCCTGGTACTCCTACAAATCCTCTCTCACCTTTATCACCCTTAAATTTAACATAAAATAAAATTTAAACTTCATTTAAATAAGTTTTGGTACCCAAATTTTTCTGTTACAATGGCAGATGAATGTTATAAACGTTGGCAGTTACAACTAGTTGATGATAATATTAAAGCTTACAATTATTTTCATACACTTGTACATATTAAAAATAAATAAAAATTAACATACAGTTGTAAAATGAATATATANAAAATAAATTTTTTTATACAAATAAATATTAATGTAAGTTAAATATTAAAAATACTAACTATAAAAGTATTTGGGTAAATGCCCCATAATCCTTTCAGAGTTCAGAGTAGCCCTTATGAGTGCCTCTGCCCTCCCATAAAATGACTTGGTATTTAATTTTGCTGGAGTCAAGTGTCAGAGTTGGAATTGGAGTTGGCCTAATAAAATTATCAGAAGGCGGAGTCAGAGTCAGAGTTGAGTGTTTTTTTACTGACTCCACAGCCCTGCTAAATATTTTGTACTTTTCCAATTCTACAAACAGAGATTAAGCCCAATATATTAATTCCAAAGTCACAGATAATTTGCCCTCATCACGGAAGTTCCTAATTAAACTATATTTAAATCTTAATTTCTTTTCTCTTATTTGCTTATTTACTTATTTATTATAAATTATCATTTTATCATGATGTTTTATATTTTGTTTTGATACAATTTTAAAGTTTTGTTTAATATTACACATTTTATTTGTGAAAAAATATATAATCTTGGAACTTGAAAAATAACTAAAATATCAGCAAGAAACATTTGATGTTTTTCTTTAAATTCTATTAAATTAAATCTAGTTCCTAAGTTTATTTAGTTTCTTTAAAAAATAGACACATGCCATAGCCACATACTAAAATTTACCATTACAAGAAGTACTTAGCCATTTCTTGAAGTGCTAGCACATCCTATAATAAAAATTTGTTTCAGAATATGCCTAGTTTTTCTGGTCACTTCTTGAAATGCTAACCTAATTTCTGCAGGTGTTGAAACAAGTGTATATTTCAGCACCTGTCTACTGAAACTAGGTATTTCATGTAATGTCTAATGTATTAGCACTTGGTGTAAAACAAGATGGCTAAATGTTTCCACACTTCTGTATGTTTTAACTTTTTTGAATTATCTTATTCAAAAGTACACCTTTCTAATACATATATATCAATTTAGCAAAGTAATTATTTTTTTGTAAATATAATAACACAACAAAAAAATATAACCTATATTTTACATTTTGAATTTAAGAATATTTAATGACAGTAAAGTATAATTTAAATAAAATATAGAAGTAACTTAAAATAAGTTATATTTTTCATTCAAATAAAAGTTTCAAAATATGGATCTTTCCCAAGAATTTTTCTGGGCGTGTTACTAGATAATGATATTTTATAATATAAAAAAGAAATTGAATTTCATCTGTGATAAATACACTACTGAAAAATCAAACTGCATATTTCTGCTGAAAACACAAAATAAAATAATAAATCCTTAAGCAAGTAATAAAAAGTAATGTTGGCAACAATGCAGCATAATTTTATTTTCTAACATTAGCAGTATTATGCTTAGCTGTAAAGAGATTACACAAATTGAGTTGACATTCAATCTATATACTCTGTCAGAAATGTGATGGATGAATGGCAAAGGCAATTAAGGTATCATATTACTGCTCTGGGGACACAAGATTGAATCCAGGTGAATAACCCAAGGAATTTGTCATGTGTTGTCAGAATTCAAAATGTGGAAATATTCAGTTGTCTTGTTTTACACTAAGTGCTAATAAAGCCATTAGACATTACATGAAATACCTAGTTTCGGTAGAAAGGTGCTCAAATATACACTTGTTTCAACATCTACAGAAATCAGGTTAGCATTTCAAGAAATGATCAGAAAAACTAGGCAGATTCTGAAACAAATGTTTACTATAGGATGTCCTAGCACTTCAAGAAATGACTAGCATTCCTTGAAATGGCAATTTCAGTATATGACTACAATATATATTTTATACATGAATACATAAATGCCTATGTGAGATTTATAAATAAGATTTAAAATTTCATGGTCAATAAGTTTTTCACTGCTCACATTCTTTTTAAATCAACTGTAAAATGTTTACAAAAATAATATTAAATAAAAATCTATCATTCTAAAACAAACGGCTCTGTCTCCAAAAAAATTCTAAATCAAGATATATACTTAATATCATATATAATTAGTATCATTTATCAATACTGTCCATTACCTAGTATGAAAAATGTTTTGCAATTAATACAGAACATTTTTCATCTAGGTATAATAACAAGTGCACAACTTGATTTTAAATTTTTTTGGAGAAAGAGCATTTTGCCTTGGGGTGGTAGAAATGTACATAATTTACATTAAAACAGATTAATTCAAAAATAATAATATGATTAAAACAGCAAATTACATAGTTTATTATATATACATCAAAATCAAATTCTGCATTTTGAATAATTTATATAANGTAAAATACAAATGAAATTAGACATCATATATCAAATTTATTATTACTCTCCTTAATATCATATTTGTAATCTCAATATTTTTTCCATTAGTTATCAAATTTTGCATTAAAAACCAATTAGCACTATATTAGAATATTAGAAACTGTAATAGATAATGATGCAATTTTTAAAAATGTCTTTCCTTCTGTAGAGTTTTTTGTTTATACATGTTTACAAAACTAATTACTTCATTCAAAAGTATCCATTTTGAATTAATTTTTTGTTTCTATAAATAAAATATTTAAGATGTTTAATATAAATAAATAAAATGCACTCTGACATTATTTCAGAATAATTTAAAATGATTTCACAAATATAATCATTAATAAAAAACATCAAATGATACAAATACTGACACACAACATATTAAAACCATGCAACAGGCATGACAAGAAGTATACTGTCACGTGTTACTAACACTGCACAGGATGCAACTAATTAAAACTTACTGCAACACCTTTCATTCCCATTCTTCCATCTTTCCCAGGAATTCCTGGGATTCCATTAGTACCATTTCTTCCAGCACTACCCTAGAATTAGTAGTAATCAAGTTTTATACATTCTTTAGTACAAGTAAATTATTCAGAGGTGTTTAAGTCATCTTTGTTGCCTAAATTAATTAATTATAATTTTCAGAAGATAAAGTAAAATTGATTTAAACTTATATTCATTGCTGTATTTAAATGGGATCATTTCTAAATGGGACAGAATGTCACAAAATGTGCTCACTGGCTCTCCTTTCAGACCAGCTGGACCACGTTCGCCTCTCATACCTGGAAGTCCTGGTACTCCTACAAATCCTCTCTCACCTTTATCACCCTTAAATTTAACATAAAATAAAATTTAAACTTCATTTAAATAAGTTTTGGTACCCAAATTTTTCTGTTACAATGGCAGATGAATGTTATAAACGTTGGCAGTTACAACTAGTTGATGATAATATTAAAGCTTACAATTATTTTCATACACTTGTACATATTAAAAATAAATAAAAATTAACATACAGTTGTAAAATGAATATATAAATATAGTTTGAATAAATTCATATATTTTATATACAATATGTACATAAAACATCTTACTATACAGGGTTTTTCAAAAGCAACATGCATAAGAAGTTGTACAGAGAAGCATCAAGAAATGAAGCAAAAGATATCAGAAGCATGTATGTATAACTAACTAGTATGCTGTGAAGATTGATTTGTTTTTTTTAATACTCAATATGCAGATAGCATGAACACAACAAATTACTAGTTTTTTTATTGTTATTTTTAGTTTTATTTAAATAAAATTAAACACAACAATAATAAAAAAATTGGTAATGTTTCATGTATTAAGTAAAACAAGTATAATCCTCACAACATACCTAGTTGTGAGTTACAGAACTATGCAACTGTGCTACATTAGTCATTAATTGAAAATGATTCAACCATGCATATGAATTTTTGCGCAATTAATTTCTGTTTGACAGTATTACAGACCTGAAATGATACATCATATAACCAGTATAGTATACACTTGCCCCTGATGTTTTGCCTACAATCTCCTGATGATTCTCAACATAATTGCCTATGGCATGTTATTTTTGAAAACCCTTGTATACATAATACATACAGTATAAAAGATCATATTGAAATCATATCCTATTAAGAATTTAGTTTAATAAGATTTAAATTTAAACTGAACAATACTACTCAGAAAACAAAAATTAAAAAAACAAAAAAATTAGAATTTTAATTCAAAAATTTTAAATATTTCCAAATCTTGAAAATATTTATAAAATAATCTATTAATTAATTAATTAATTAATTACCATAAAGTTTTAATAAGATTTATCAAAACAAATAGAGAGTAATCAAACAGAATCAGTCTATACCTCATTATTATCTAATTAAATTTATCAATAATCCAAATAATAAATTACAGGTATATCAACTTTCTAAATGTAATTCTATCATCTGATGTTTAATGTAAATTATACAATGCTTCAGGCATTTTCAACTCTCTTCTGTTAATTATGTAAATGAATATAATTTTTTAATCAAAACTTTATATATCAATCTACATCATAAATGTAATAATACAATTTAAATACGATGATTATGTTTTAGTTTTTATTTTGAAGTTATCATAAAAGCAATTTTTTATAAAGAATAAATATTTCTCTTTTTATTTGCAAGACTTGTATTTGATTGAACATAAAATAAGATATATTAATCTATAATTATAAAAACCGCATAATTTAAATTTTATAAGATTAATAATGAGATTATATGTATTTAAAATTAAAATAACAATATAAGAAAAAATAATAATTTACTTATTAATATTCTACTTGTAAATAAAAATTATAAAATTAAATAATAATAAATGATTGAATATTTTAATTCTAATAAAATTTTATATAAATATAAAACTTAGATATGCTTTATTTCTTTAAGAAAATATTGGTGATTGTGAATTTTATGAATGCAACATTAATTATCCTCATTAGAATACTAATTTTCTGTTGTTAAGTAGAAGTATGTGTATCTAATAAACACACTTAATAATGTTTTATCTATTATAAATAATATTATAACTTAAATTAATAATAACTTAACATTACCTTTGGTCCTGGTAAACCATCTTTTCCTGTTGGTCCCTATAAAATTGTGTAAGTAAAAAAAATCACTATCAGATAGAAATAAGGTTAGACAATTATTTTCATAAACTATAATAATTATATATCTACTTCAAATATATCTATTAAATTTCAGTTTATTAAATTAAAAATATAAGCTGTATATATGTATATATTTACCACTGGACCTTGTGGACCTGGAGGTCCTGTTTCACCAGGTGGCCCCTAATTATATAATAATAAAATTATTTCAACTATTAAATTTTTTGAAGTAATTATTTCTGAACTGATATATAACTTACTGGTTCTCCAGGTAAACCTACTCTTCCATCAAACCCTGGTAATCCAGTTGGACCTGGTGGTCCAGCTGGTCCAGGAGGCCCCCTCTCTCCTGGTTCACCCTTGAATTATTAAAATCATTAAAGGTATAAATAAAAAAAACTGAAAATATTAAATACATTATATAATAATGACACCTAATATTTTATAATTTTAATTAAACAGACTTGATATGAACTAAACAAATGTGTAATTACAAAGCTATTATTAAGTTGTTAAGTAATGTAGCATAATAATTTATGTATCATTAAAAACGCATCAAATATATAATTAAATTTCTTTAAAAACTTAAGTAAAAACCTATAATTAATAAATTATCATCACTTATATTAATGATGTGATCAAATTTTGATAAAAAGGAAATTCAAACATTTTTTTTAAATTAAAAATTATCAGTAAGTTTTTGCAACGTGTGTTTAATTTTTGATTAATTTAATAATTCGTAATAAAATTACTGAAGCAATTAAAGTATTTTATTCTATTAATATCAGAAGCTTAAAATATTTAATAAAAAAAAACATTTTAAAAAGTATCTTATATTAATTTTAAAAGTTTAATGAATTTTAAATTAACTTTTAATTTAAAATTTTAATTAAATCTAAATTAAAAAAGTACTTTTGTATCTAATCAAGACACTATCTGAAAGTTAAAACATAATAAATTTTAAATTAAATTTCTTTCAATTTTAAATTATTATTACATAATTTTAATAATTTAATCTTATTAACATCTTTACAAAAATATTACTTCAAATAAACTTCTACAAGTAACATTTTAAAATTTATTAAATTATATAAATATATTTACACACAAAATTTTTACATACGTTTACATTTCTATTGTTAATACTGTTTTATTGTAATTATAAATTCAAATTACAACAATAAAAATTAGAATTTTAAATACGATTTATAATTAATCTGATCACTAGAAATTATTTTTATTAAACAATAATACAGTGTTTTATTAAGATTGTTGTTTGAGGCAAAATATTAAATCTCCATTAAATTTGACAAATATTCATTTAATAGGATTTAAACCTGCTATATGACAAAATAGAAGCAATATATTATACTATACTGCCAGTTCATCAGAATATAATATAATATAAAAACTTTTACAAAGTTGCTTATACAGTAATACCCCAAGTTATATAAGTAATACGGACTGTAGAAATTTGTAACTTGAATGTAAATTTGAGTTACGAATTTGAATTTGTAAATTGCTTAAGTGTAACTACATAATTAATTACTCAATACTGTATTTATTATTATATGTGTACTGTACATATATTATTTATTATATAAAAGAATTGAGTAAGTGTTTACAATTGGTAAAGGATTAGCAAAGCAATAAAGTAATAAATCAATACAATGCAAAAGAAAGAAAAAGAGAAGAGAGAGAATGAATAAATGAATGTTTTAAACAGAATAATTCTTTGTAAAATTACTTGTTACTCTACTCAGATTTTTTCCAATTTTTGAGATTTACATTCTACGTAACTGTGAATTTATGTAAGTTGCATGTTACTCAGGGTATTACTGTACTGTATATATGCATATGCAATATTGATGGATGATTTAATCAAATCTTTATTAAAAGCATTTTTGAATCATTATTTATCATTTAAATGAAATGTATAAAAGCTAAACATAATAATTAGGAGATTAATTAAAATTGATAAAATAAATTTTAACTATTACAGTTTACAATTATTAAATATGCCTAATATAAATTCAAAAATATGGTGTCAAGTTTTATGATTAACTTTTATTATTTTATTTCAAAATTGAACTCTGAGTATTAATATTTAAACAAGACAATAACAACATTATTTAGCTGCTTGCCACCTATAAACTGTATACCTTTAAGTAAAATTTCAGCACTTTAATTGTCAATTTAATAATACATACTTATTAATTTAAAAATTATTTCTTCTTAATCCATTGCAAGTAAAAATAAAAAAATAATTATGTTAATAACTGTATTGATGTATTAACACTGTTAAGATGCAGTTGCTAACAAAATTCATTTCTCTGCTTAATATGTTGCTTCTGTGTGACTTAATATTCATAATGTTAAATGTCTGCTAGAAAGTTGCTAACAAAATAATAGCTATTTTTATTTTATCATTAATTATTGATTGTTTCTACCTTATCACTATCATTAGAATACATATTTCATTTGGCAATAAATATGACAAGCTTCTTGGGAATAATACAGAAGTGAATACCAATTACTGGTAATATAAAAAAAAGATGCTTGTTAGCTGGGAGCATCTTTCAAAGTAGACAATCATAAACCTGTATCATAAATATAAAAAAGTGAACTCTACAAATACCTAAGATACCAGCCAGAAAATTAACCACTTTGAGGACCTCTGTTCAAAATCTATAGTTCTAAATGATATATAATATCCTTACAAAATTTTATATAAACCAAAAGTTATAAGAGAAAATATGTGATATTAGTTAATTTATCCATCAACATGATATATCTCATTCATGATATTTCTTTATTTTATTTTTATTTATTAAAATAGTAATTAAAATTGAATAATTATTTTATATTAATTATTAATGTTTTTCATATACTGTACACTGAACTCCCAATTATCTGCGCATCATCAAAATATTTTGTCTATCTTATCTACGGACAGTGTAATGAATGGGAAGTTGTATATGCATCATCAGTATAGAAGCAGTAGGCTTTCAAGCTTAGCTCACTTTTCAAGAACCAGTCTAAACATGTCCATGAGAGTTAATCTGAATTTACAAACAAAACTTTAGAAATTTATTGATGGAATACAATGAAAAAAAAAATTCACATTTATATGTTATAAACAGCAATTTGAAAAAATATCCTACTATCCTAAAATTAAAATACAGTAATTTGTATAAACATCTCAAGAACCCAATGTATTAATGATCATCCAACCATCAGCCAAATATTACCCAATTAATTTGGCTGATGGTTGGATGATTACAGTAATTTGGAAAAAATGTAAGAATTATACATAGAAATGGAAAATTTAAATTTCTACATAATATTTTTGAAAATAGAAGAAATCTAAATTTTATGTTTATTGAATAAATAAATATACATTTCAGCTTACAAAACTTGGGATGCATACTTGTATGGGATGGAATTGAGTTGTATTAAAACTTCTGAATAGTTTTCTTATAGTTTAGAGGGCTATTTTAGATTATCTGTGTTTTTCAGTTTTTGTGCACACCCATGCTCTAATTAGCATGGGAGTTCAATGTATTAATATTATCATACATAAAAATTTCACAACTACATTATAANAACTAATAAATTAATTTATCCGAATGTAATAAAAACATTATAATATTTTAGTCAAATTTTCTTAAGATAAATTCAGTATTTTTACTTGTTACACAACTTTAAAAATTAATTTTAAACAATTATAAAAAATTTGTGTGATATTTAACTCTAAATATGATTTATTTAAATATCAAAAGGATTAAATTATTTGAATTTCTTATTTTTATCTTTTTGTGTTAAATTATAATGAATATTTTTTAAATTTCACAGCTACAGAATTTGGAATTAAGAATAAAACATTAATTTTTATAAAAATCTGTATTCAAATATATTTGTTAAAAAGAAATAAAAATAATTTTATAAAATGCTAATTAAATAATGTGTTTATATAAACATTGAAAAAATAAAATTTTTGAATCCAAATTATTTATTGTATTTACAATTCAGAATTTCATATTAAAAAATGAATACTTAGAAATTGTAACTACATAATATAAAAATTTATATGAAATACAGTATATAACAAATACAAGTAAATACTTAAATATACGATACACAAATCATTACAATAAATGTTTTTTACTATATGAAATTCAACAGAATTAAATTCAAATATAACTGTATCTTTGATGTAATAAGTTTAGCATCTTGTAACTTTAGTTATAAATAGGATTATAAATTTAGTTATATAATTATATGACATGGATAGTATTGAATATGTCAAGTATTGATAAATTATATGGAAAATTTGCTTGTCTTTTCATATATGACGTGTCTTTTTGAACAGATTCTCAAATGCAGCTACCACAGTTGTATGTACTGTACCATAAAGAAAATTTCAAGTGGGCAACTAAACAGCCAATTTTGTACTTTTTACTCATTAAGTATAATCAAAATAGCCACCATTTTAGACAATAAAATCCTAAAGATAAATAAATATTTCTTAAATTCTTATATTTTCATACAGGTGGCTATTAGTCATACAGGTGTTCCATTAATCAGTTATTTTCCATAGTTGTGTTTGCAGCAATGAAAAGAATGTTTTCTGAGAACTCAATTTTGATTATTATTATCTAACTGTAATAGCTTAATGCATAAAACAAATGATACACTATCTAGAAGAAAAACTCTCTCTTATTGACAATATATTTTAGATTTCTTCACTAACTTTTAATTTTATGCTTTCAGTTATTGAAAAGTGTATTTTTCTATTTAAAAACTGATTATAGAATGTTTAATAAGAAAAACAATTATTTAGTAAAAAGAAAATATTGCAGATTGTAAACAATATAAATACAGTTATTTTTAAACTGTACCCAAAAATTTTGTAAAAATTATCCTGTGATGAAACTTAGTGAAAAAAAAAATAAAAATGGAGGTGAAAAAAAGAATGTAATCATAAATAAACCCAATTTTAAGTGAAAAACCAAAAATTATCATGCAATTCCATAACATTTATGGCAATTTGTTAATCTGGAGGGGTTAATGTTAGAGGGGTAGGATGAATTTTGACTAATTCAGTTATTAAACTGACCTTAATAGCGATGACTTCAGCATAGCCTAATGTTCCCCCATGGAGTCTAGTGATTGAGCGCTTTAAACCCTGTAAATTAGTTTTGATTCAATTAAAGACTAGAAATACTGAATATTTTTTAACATTATGTGAAAATTAAATATCGATAAATCTGGTTTTATGTAATCGGAATTGAACTGATGAAAAATAAATTTGTATAGTGTAATAAGTTTTATCATGTCAGGTACCAATACTAAAGTACTGATAATTGAAATAAATTAAATTTTGAAATTAAAGAAAAGTATTAAACTATATATATACATTTTTTTTATTTGGGTCTGACGATAATATCTTATGTTTTAAAGAAAATTTATGTTACTTTGTATTATACATAAAGAAATAAAAATAATTTTATAAAATGCTAATTAAATAATGTGTTTATATAAACATTGAAAAAATAAAATTTTTGAATCCAAATTATTTATTGTATTTACAATTCAGAATTTCATATTAAAAAATGAATACTTAGAAATTGTAACTACATAATATAAAAATTTATATGAAATACAGTATATAACAAATACAAGTAAATACTTAAATATACGATACACAAATCATTACAATAAATGTTTTTTACTATATGAAATTCAACAGAATTAAATTCAAATATAACTGTATCTTTGATGTAATAAGTTTAGCATCTTGTAACTTTAGTTATAAATAGGATTATAAATTTAGTTATATAATTATATGACATGGATAGTATTGAATATGTCAAGTATTGATAAATTATATGGAAAATTTGCTTGTCTTTTCATATATGACGTGTCTTTTTGAACAGATTCTCAAATGCAGCTACCACAGTTGTATGTACTGTACCATAAAGAAAATTTCAAGTGGGCAACTAAACAGCCAATTTTGTACTTTTTACTCATTAAGTATAATCAAAATAGCCACCATTTTAGACAATAAAATCCTAAAGATAAATAAATATTTCTTAAATTCTTATATTTTCATACAGGTGGCTATTAGTCATACAGGTGTTCCATTAATCAGTTATTTTCCATAGTTGTGTTTGCAGCAATGAAAAGAATGTTTTCTGAGAACTCAATTTTGATTATTATTATCTAACTGTAATAGCTTAATGCATAAAACAAATGATACACTATCTAGAAGAAAAACTCTCTCTTATTGACAATATATTTTAGATTTCTTCACTAACTTTTAATTTTATGCTTTCAGTTATTGAAAAGTGTATTTTTCTATTTAAAAACTGATTATAGAATGTTTAATAAGAAAAACAATTATTTAGTAAAAAGAAAATATTGCAGATTGTAAACAATATAAATACATATATGATTATTCAATAATAATATAAATAATGCTTTATTATTATTAGTATATGGTTTGATGTGTTTTTATAAAATGAATTTTTCATTATTAAAAGTTCTTAAAACTTTAAAATAGTCTGTTCTTCTATTTAAAATTGATCTTTTAAAGTTTTATTCTACATAGCTTGGAAATGTTTAAGTTCTGAACATATATTTTTGACTGCAAAAAACAAAACTGAATTTAACTTTGACTTTAAAAAATACAACTTTAATGTTGCATTTTTCAAAATTTATCCTAATGTTCCAAAATTACATTCTTTTCTTCATGTAAAAATGACATTTATAAAATGTTGAAAGTGCTTGCAATGATGTTATAATAAAAACTGTTAACTATTGTCTATCATTGTTAATCTCTCTCTTTAATTGGAAGAATGAATACAATTTATTGATAAGATTCTTATAATTCAGATTTATCTTTAAAATTATTTAAATATTCCATTTAGGCATTTTTATCTTGTTAATGCAGGATACTATACATTTAGGGGTATTTAAATGTAAATACATAAAATCTATAATTATTACTAACAGTTGTTATAAATATCATAATCAATTATATTTTGAAATTGTATATTATAATGAGAATTATTCCAAGTAGCTATGTAATTACTTTTTAGGTTATAATTGTTACAGAAATACATAAATGTATTTATATCATATTGTTAGAAATATAAGATATTTAAATAACTCATTTATTTAATTATTTTTGTATTCTATATCAGAAAATTTCTAAATCATCATCTGTTATAAATTAAGTAAAAGCTTCTTCAAGCTTAAAATGTTAATCATAAGGAACTGAACTAATAATTTTAAATAAAAAAGAATGAATTGCAAAAGAAAGTACATTAACAATAAATTGCAATAATATATTTTTGAAATGTACTAAACTATAATTTGTAACAAAAAATGAAACAAACTAGTAATAATTTAGTTATTACTATTATTGATTTGTTAGCATTCAATAATGAATTATTCTAAAGCATGGTGTGATATAATTTGTTATATTTTAATAAAAATTATGAATTGAATTTTATATAATCAAATGTATAATTTAAGAATACTAACTCATTAAAAAAATCTCTTCAATTTTTTAAATAAAATTGATCATTGATTTTATTGATATGTTTTTATTTCTGTAACAATTGTACACATATAAAAATTTAAATTTTGATTTACAAATAAAACAATTATAATAATAATTAAAAATCAACTAATGTTCTATCATTAGTTACAGATCATATCATTATGATATATTTTTGAGCTGAAACAAATAATAAAATAAATGAATATTGATGAGACTGCTGATACACATTCATAAAGAAATATCAATTTCTGAAAATATTTTCATAATTATTTCCTCAAAAACATTTCCAAACTAAATACTTTTATTTATTAATTTTTTTAACAAAGTTGAAAAAGTTTTTAAAATAATTTAAACTGCTATTTTATTTTTATATATTACTTGATACAATTTAAACTTTTAACATAATATTCTTTTGATTCCAATTAAAAACAAAACTATTGAAAAACAAAAAGATATGTGCATTATTAATTAATTTAATGTATTAATTATTATTAATTATCTTTCTTTCTTAATTCTTTTCCTAATTGTCTTACTTAATTTCCTTTGTTAGTGTAATTTATTAATGTACTGTACATTATCATCATCATCAAGATTATGCATTTATTGCATTATATTATTTTCAATAAGATCAAAGTCTTCTAAAGAAAATTTTCTAATTAATTCTTTTATTAAAAACAAAGAAGTTACAAGCTAAACTTCTTTAATATATCTGTAATTTGATAATGTTATACATTATCAAAATTTAAATTTAATTAAATTAAAAAACAAGGAATTAATTTATTATTTAAACTAATTTCAATTGTATTAGAGTAACATTATAATTATCATAAGTTTATATTTTATTTTATTCTAGTTAAGTAGTAAGGGTGTCAAAATTTTTTTTTCATTTAAAATGAATTTTAAAAAGATTAAAAGAAAATTATAAATTTCTAAAAATATTTTTGATTTAATTTCTGATTAAGATCTAATACTGATTGAAGTTTCATACATTACTTTCAATTCAGACTATGATAAGATGAAAATATTATAATAGTATAGCCAGGGCCAGATTTAGGGACATACACAGGGTACAGGGCACAGGTACATTGCATCTCCTTTCTGAAGTTTTTTCCCAAATAAAGCCTGGTACTTCAGGTAGTAAAATATTCTGTAAGGCATACTGTTTCCTTCCTGCACCCCTCTAAAAATTAGATTGACCTCTAAATTCTGGATTGACTGATTACAACCATCTTTTATTACTCTATTATAACAGGTGATTATATATAGATGTAGTTATAATTGATGATAAACATTCAGATTTTGTAGATCTATTTAAGATATTTAAAAGATAATGCTGAAAACAATCATTTCACATTTCAATAGAGAATAGCAAAAGTTAAACATCTTTCATTTGAATAAAACACAATACATCAATGATCATGGCTAATGAATAATTAATTTTGATGTAATGAGTTCATATTCTTATGATATAAATCATGTTGAATTACAATAAAGAATAAAATCATGTAAATTATGATATAATCATTCAAAATCATTTATTTATTTTTGAAAATTTCCACTTACTGACATTCTTTTATACTTATAGATATAAGATAATTTATATTTGCAAAATCAATTCTAGATAAAACTATTTCTTAAGCATTGACTTATCAAAAGTATTGGAAATGTTCAGTATTTTATAATTATAAAATAGCAATGAATTGAACCTTAAATGAAATTCCAGGATAATCTATGCAAATTATAATGTTTTCGATCTTCAAAGAATATCTTCCTCGGAATTCTTTAAATTGGAACTATAATTTTATAATTATATTTTTATACATTAATATTAATGTATTTGTAAAAACTATCTATCATAGTCTTTTACACCAAAAGTATTGTATAGAAACTTATTTCTTATCTGGAACATATTATTAAAAATATTTCTTGGAATTTTAACAACAGTAAAAATTACAGTAAAAATTATTTAACTTCTAAGTCATTTTTATATCAATTTCTTGTGCATGCAATCACAAAAAAAAAAAAAAATTATTGTTTAAAACAAATATCAGTTATCTAATTAAATCATCTCATACTCTTTCTTTAACTTAAAACATGAGAACTAAATTATCAAAAGAAATAAAACTATATTATGTTTATTAATACACAGATAAATTATGCATACCATATATTATTCATATTTATTAAATAAATTTGTATGCATACTGTATGTGTCTGCTTGTGTATACTGTTTCTGTTCTTTTATTACTGTACTCTATAATATTCTTTGCTATACTTTTTTTTTATAAGCAGAGAAGATTTATACACTGAATGATTACTACATTAAAACTGCTTAATAACAGATTGGTCAACCTTTCTGGATGATAATGGCTTGCAAATGCGAGACATGGACTCTCCAGATGCCAAACTGGACTCGTGCTTGCTCAAGCAGTTTTATCAGTTGGTGCACATTTCACAGAGAAGTGGGTGCAACTTCCCCACATGTTTCAGCATATCCCAAACATGTGTGAGGTTGCCAAATTTGAGATAACCAAATGTCAGGACTTATCATATGTGGGGTGACAAGTAGTGAGGCAGACAGCTGCAGTTAGAGAAAACCCATTTATTGATGCTAATCTTACATACTATAAGGCAACTCAGCAACTATTGATTGCTGATCTGTAGAGTTGTTGAGTTGATGGCCCTGGGACAGTCTAGTGAGTCAATGCTAGGTGGATCCCAAGTCCAGAACAAAGTGGATAACGGGAACAGTCTCTGGCAGGAGGGTGATGATTTGGAATGAAGTTGGTAGGATGATCAATGGAGTCCTGGCAGTTAACTTCTCCACTGGATGCAGAGGAAAGTCTCATCAGTTGGACTTTACAATCGGAGGCTGGGAAAAGTCTGCCTATGTCCTTGAGATCCAGGTTTTAAAAGATTCTCTTCCCTTGATCTCTAGCTTTTGATTGGTCAGTTTCCTGTATCTAGGCAGATAACAGACTATCTCAGGCTACCAAAGGTTTAATTCAACACTGTGATTTATTCAATCAAGAGAAATTAATCACATCTTGAAATTCCTGCTCATATTTAAGTGTTTTAAATTATTGACACATAATCACTGTGCTATATCTCTTTTTAAGGTTATTTAAAAACTTATTTTTTTCTTTCTCTTGATTAATAATTTTATTACTTCTCAATTTTATTTAGGTTTATCTTCCAGTTTTTACAAGCATTAGAATCAAAGCTTGATCCTTTGATTTGACACTTTTATTATATTTAACACTTGAGCTCAAATATTGCTTGGGCCTCACACATGTTAAATAGGATTGCAGTCTGGTGAGTTTGGGAACCAAGGAAGTGTGTGGAATTCATTGTTGTGTTCCTCCAACCATTTCTCAGTGAGACTCACCCAGTGACACAGTGTGTTATCATGTTGAAACATGGCATTGTTGTAAGGAATGATATTTTATTAGTGATCTATGCACCTGTATCTACAGGGTAACAGATCCCTGTATTGTTTATCATTAAAGGATTGCAGGATGATGACCAATGGTCTTAGGCTTTGCTAAGAGAACACTCCTCAAACCATGATACCACCACCACCATCACCAATTGCGTAACCCAAACTGCGCAACCAGGGAATGCAGCTTCATGCTGTTTATGCCAGGGCAGCAGCATGGTTCAACATTCATCATTCCAAGCAGCCTTCTTCCACATGTCTAAGGTTCAATGACACCTTTCACTTGCACATCTAAGGCATTGTTTGTAATAAGTGGTCAACAGAGGCATCCCTGCAGGTCAACAACTAATGAACCCCAATTGACACAAGGAATGTCACATGGTCAATGTTGAAACATGTATGGTGGGTAAACTGTTCCACTGTGGCATGTTTTTGTTCAGATATCAGTTTTGACACACAACACAACTATGGGATCAATCACACATAACTGGCCACTGTGTGATCTTCTGGTGGATGTTTGTGCATGATCCATCCAGTTGTGGTACACTCTGGACACTGTGGTATGAGAACAACCAATGAGTGCAGCTATTTCAGAAATACTGACACTCGCCCTCCATTTCCTAATGATCTGTCCATGCTCAAAGTCACTCAAGTTACCCCATTTATCCATGACTAGCAAGTATTGCCTCCTAATGACAGGTCAATATGTCATGACTGCAGTGAATTGTGACATGGCAATTACAGGTCATCCCTTTACCACTTTCAAGATGGTGCTGATGTTGTGTTCCTAATGCAGTGATCGTTCAGTCTGTATATAATTAATATACCCAAAACAAGATTTCAATGTATTTTTTTTAATCAAAAATATAAAAAAAAATATAAAAACATAAAAACAAAATAAATATAAATTATATAAAATATGCTGTTTAATTCTAATTTTAATTTTATAATTCTTCCCAAATAAAAGGGATTAAATTCCCAAAGTTTACCATGTGCCAGCTTTTCATTAACATAAAGATAAATTCTGGACATTAGCAGGACATCATTAATACAGGGTGGGTTCATTTCAAACTGAACAATTGTTACATGGAATATCTCTGTATAAAATGAAAATATGAGCATAAAACATGAATGAAACAATTCTTTATTTCATGACAAAGCAGTTGACCAAGGTATGTTTTACATTATGTTCTTCAAATGTGACTGCATATCATGAGGTATTGAACAAAGTAAGTGTTCAGTTCAAGCGAATCACCCTGTATAATCTCTCATAATTTTTTTTCCAGTGAAATCATTGACATTACATACTTTTACCCATTTATGCACTTAACATGAATTCATTGAGACAATCAATAACCATAATCTTAGACCTCTGTGTGATTTGTATATCATGCATTCAATTGCATGAACTGTACCATACAGTTTCTAAAATTATGTATTTTCTAATAGAAATAGCAGTATTGATTAAAACAGTAATTTTCCTAACTAGAATATGACATTCTTATATTTTTGGCATATATTGAAATTAAATGAGGACCTGCATATTATCAGATCTATCTAAAGTTTACACAGCATTAGAAAATGATATTTTTGAAATGGTTGAATAATTTTTTGTGATTTCTTCAAATAAGTAAATGGATAATGTTTGTGAATATGGATATTTTAAACATATTACTACAGCCAATTGTAATTATTTAATTTTATAACTGAATTTTTCAATACATAATGTAATGCAACACTTGTTGATTATGTAATATTAAGCATAATGCAACTTTTGTCTATTAATATAAAAAATTATGCTACAGTAAAATAACACAAGCATTTTCCCAACCTTGTTGTATTTGAAGTAAATTTCAGACAGTATTTATGAGCATATAAATAAGAAATATTATCTAATACACTAAATAGCCTTTATGTATATGATACAACTAAAACATAATAATGTAAGTCAAATGAAATACAATAATAATACTGCACACATAAATCAATGTCCAACAAGAAACTACAAAACTACATACATAGTTTTGTAATCTCTTGTTGGATATTTTTTGTGTGTATTGCTTAATACAGTAATATAATGGCAAAATATTATTTGTTAAATTATCTTTCAAAATCTAAATAATATATATAGTACAGTACATATAAATACTTTTGAAATAAATAAATTATATGTGTTATTTCTAGATAATTTAAATAACTGGATACATTGTTTATCTTATGTCATTAATAATTGCATAATTTAAAATAATTTTTCTTTCTATAATAATAATAATAAATTATTGATATTTTAGTTCTCATTTAATACATATAAATTATGAACAAAGCAATGTATGAATATTTAAAATAATAAAAAGTTATGCTAAAAGTAACAAATTTGAAAGCTATGCTTAAAGATAGTTTATAAATGCATAATTCAGAAAGCTAAACATGCAAAAGTAAAACTTACTTTTAAGCCTTTTGCACCAGGCATACCAGGCAGGCCCATAGGTCCCTATTTTAGCAACATGCATTGTAATCTCTATACTAAAGCATACAACATTCCAAAAAACATGTCAAAATATATCATGCATGATGAATAGATTCTGTGATGCTAAATGGTTGGGTCATTATTAAAGAAAATTTCTGCATTTATAACAATAAAATTTATTTTCAAAAATATTTTACTTTGAAGCATTCTTTTATATTGGAAAGGAAATAAAGTGTCAAACAAAAAAATAAACCTTACCGGATCACCTTTTGGCCCATCAATACCAATTGCTCCCTTAAAAAAAAAGATAGAAAAATTAGTTTGAAAATTAAGTTTATTATATATAATTTCATTTAATATAGAATTTAATACTATATTTTCTAATTCTGTTATACTTACTGGAAATCCTGGTTTACCTGGAGGTCCAATTGGTCCCTGTTTGAGGTAATAAAACATTCATAAATTTTAAAAGGTATTAGATAAATTTATTAATAATTATAATCATTAAACTAAATTCTAACAGTTTAATCTCCCAGAGACATTAAATATTCAGTTTAAATATCATGTCTGTAGTGAGCATTGCACATTGGAAACATGAAGATATTAAAAGCTAGCAGTCTTTATAACTTTTATGTCATAATATAAGCCATTTTCATTTACAATCTTTTGCCATTTTTTGGGTAGCTCTGTAATTCCTTGCTCAAGGAACTTACTGTCTTTGCAAAAAACTGCTCCAAGTGCTGTTTTGATGTCATTCTCTGAAACAAAACACTGTTCATTTAAAGAATTTTGAAGGGAACAAAACAGGTGGTAATCAGAGGGGACAATATCTAGTGAATATGAAAGATGTAGAAAGACCTCCCAGAACAGCTCCAATAATTTTTGCTGTGTTTGCAAAGATGAGTGAAATCTGACATTGTCATGATGAATGACGATGCCCTTCCAGTTTACCAATTTCAGATGCTTCTTGTAGATAGCTGTATTCAATTTGTCAGTAAGCCAGAATACATATCTGAATTGATTGACCTATTCTTCAGAAGCAGCTTGTAGAATGCAACACCCTTCCAATCCCACTATGATCTTGCATTGGGTGGAGCACTGACTTTGATGTGGTTTGTGATGGTTCACCATTCAGTCTCCATGGTTGTTTGTGCTTACATTATTGTACATGATCTATTTTCATTGCCCATTATTATCTGCTTCAGAAATGGATCTCTCCTCATATTTTCTTAGTAAATCACTGATGGAAATGCATTCTAAGCAGCTTCAGACNCACTCTTCAGGCAAACCACCCCTTTTATACCGTCTCCCTGATACATACTACGTCATTACTACGTTTACAACCCTCACCCAATCAGTGAGCACACACCACAAAAAGGTGATTTTCCGACATGAACGAAAATTTTACATACACGGATCCATAATCTGATACGAGATAAACCGAAACAAGACATTACATTTGTGTACAATACAATTAGTGCTGTAGCACTACAAAACAATTCTTTATTTCATGACAAAGCAGTTGACCAAGGTATGTTTTACATTATGTTCTTCAAATGTGACTGCATATCATGAGGTATTGAACAAAGTAAGTGTTCAGTTCAAGCGAATCACCCTGTATAATCTCTCATAATTTTTTTTCCAGTGAAATCATTGACATTACATACTTTTACCCATTTATGCACTTAACATGAATTCATTGAGACAATCAATAACCATAATCTTAGACCTCTGTGTGATTTGTATATCATGCATTCAATTGCATGAACTGTACCATACAGTTTCTAAAATTATGTATTTTCTAATAGAAATAGCAGTATTGATTAAAACAGTAATTTTCCTAACTAGAATATGACATTCTTATATTTTTGGCATATATTGAAATTAAATGAGGACCTGCATATTATCAGATCTATCTAAAGTTTACACAGCATTAGAAAATGATATTTTTGAAATGGTTGAATAATTTTTTGTGATTTCTTCAAATAAGTAAATGGATAATGTTTGTGAATATGGATATTTTAAACATATTACTACAGCCAATTGTAATTATTTAATTTTATAACTGAATTTTTCAATACATAATGTAATGCAACACTTGTTGATTATGTAATATTAAGCATAATGCAACTTTTGTCTATTAATATAAAAAATTATGCTACAGTAAAATAACACAAGCATTTTCCCAACCTTGTTGTATTTGAAGTAAATTTCAGACAGTATTTATGAGCATATAAATAAGAAATATTATCTAATACACTAAATAGCCTTTATGTATATGATACAACTAAAACATAATAATGTAAGTCAAATGAAATACAATAATAATACTGCACACATAAATCAATGTCCAACAAGAAATTACAAAACTACATACATAGTTTTGTAATCTCTTGTTGGATATTTTTTGTGTGTATTGCTTAATACAGTAATATAATGGCAAAATATTATTTGTTAAATTATCTTTCAAAATCTAAATAATATATATAGTACAGTACATATAAATACTTTTGAAATAAATAAATTATATGTGTTATTTCTAGATAATTTAAATAACTGGATACATTGTTTATCTTATGTCATTAATAATTGCATAATTTAAAATAATTTTTCTTTCTATAATAATAATAATAAATTATTGATATTTTAGTTCTCATTTAATACATATAAATTATGAACAAAGCAATGTATGAATATTTAAAATAATAAAAAGTTATGCTAAAAGTAACAAATTTGAAAGCTATGCTTAAAGATAGTTTATAAATGCATAATTCAGAAAGCTAAACATGCAAAAGTAAAACTTACTTTTAAGCCTTTTGCACCAGGCATACCAGGCAGGCCCATAGGTCCCTATTTTAGCAACATGCATTGTAATCTCTATACTAAAGCATACAACATTCCAAAAAACATGTCAAAATATATCATGCATGATGAATAGATTCTGTGATGCTAAATGGTTGGGTCATTATTAAAGAAAATTTCTGCATTTATAACAATAAAATTTATTTTCAAAAATATTTTACTTTGAAGCATTCTTTTATATTGGAAAGGAAATAAAGTGTCAAACAAAAAAATAAACCTTACCGGATCACCTTTTGGCCCATCAATACCAATTGCTCCCTTAAAAAAAAAGATAGAAAAATTAGTTTGAAAATTAAGTTTATTATATATAATTTCATTTAATATAGAATTTAATACTATATTTTCTAATTCTGTTATACTTACTGGAAATCCTGGTTTACCTGGAGGTCCAATTGGTCCCTGTTTGAGGTAATAAAACATTCATAAATTTTAAAAGGTATTAGATAAATTTATTAATAATTATAATCATTAAACTAAATTCTAACAGTTTAATCTCCCAGAGACATTAAATATTCAGTTTAAATATCATGTCTGTAGTGAGCATTGCACATTGGAAACATGAAGATATTAAATGCTAGCAGTCTTTATAACTTTTATGTCATAATATAAGCCATTTTCATTTACAATCTTTTGCCATTTTTTGGGTAGCTCTGTAATTCCTTGCTCAAGGAACTTACTGTCTTTGCAAAAAACTGCTCCAAGTGCTGTTTTGATGTCATTCTCTGAAACAAAACACTGTTCATTTAAAGAATTTTGAAGGGAACAAAACAGGTGGTAATCAGAGGGGACAATATCTAGTGAATATGAAAGATGTAGAAAGACCTCCCAGAACAGCTCCAATAATTTTTGCTGTGTTTGCAAAGATGAGTGAAATCTGACATTGTCATGATGAATGACGATGCCCTTCCAGTTTACCAATTTCAGATGCTTCTTGTAGATAGCTGTATTCAATTTGTCAGTAAGCCAGAATACATATCTGAATTGATTGACCTATTCTTCAGAAGCAGCTTGTAGAATGCAACACCCTTCCAATCCCACTATGATCTTGCATTGGGTGGAGCACTGACTTTGATGTGGTTTGTGATGGTTCACCATTCAGTCTCCATGGTTGTTTGTGCTTACATTATTGTACATGATCTATTTTCATTGCCCATTATTATCTGCTTCAGAAATGGATCTCTCCTCATATTTTCTTAGTAAATCACTGATGGAAATGCATTCTAAGCAGCTTCAGACAGTTCATGCAGAACCCAAACATTGAGCTTGCTAACATAGCCAACTTGATGCAGATGATTTTCCATGCTCAATTTCAATATTTGGAGAATGCCTGCAATCTCCCATGTCATATATAATAGTATAAAGTGGTGTCAATTAGCTTCTTCAATTTGTCAGTATCAATTTCTTGTGGTTGGCCTGAGCATTGTGTATCTTGGACAGAAAATTCTCCAGAACAAAATCTCATAAACTATTTCTGGCACACATGTTTTTCAAGGCATCCTCACCATATACTGCATATATTTTCTTATAGGTTTGCACTGTGTTTTTGCCTTTTTAAAAATAAAAAAAAGCATAATGTGCCAAAAATGTTTTGTTTATCCATATTTCAAGTGACATCAAACACACAAAACACAACCAATTTTTATTCTTTTTTGTAAAGATAAACATTGAAATGACAATTTCAAAAGTTACAAACTTAAACATCTGAATCCAATTATATATATATTAAAGCCAAATTATTGCTTTATTACAAAATTATGACTACAATTACTGAAGTCAAGCTTTCAAAATTTGAAATTGTTTGTTACTTTTCATAATGTCTACCACCATTTATCAACAAAAACTGAATGGACTTATTGGTAACCCCATAATTCATAAATTAATATGGCCATATTTAGACAAAAAACTAGCACAAGTAAACTGGAACTATATATACTAAACAGAAAAATTCACACCTAAATGCTAATTCCAGCAGTAATTGAAAATCATCCTCAGAAATGTATGAAACACACAAAAAAANGAACACAGCTGTATTCGACGGTTAGAAGTTTTCAAATGATAGAACCATATTTATATAATATTTTATACCATTGTTATTATATAATCATTTATAATATATATATTTTTTAACAAAACATTACATATCATATGCTATTATTTAAATTATTATTAGGAGCTGTCCATTAATTACAATTAGTTTTTGAGCCCATTTTTTATCAATCTCCTTCCTCCCTATTGTGTACAATAATATATTTTTCTGACCCTTTCCTTCCCTTAAGTTGTGCATATAATTTATGGATTATTTATATCATAAATTATATACATGCTGTTTTAACAAAATATTTGTAAACAAAATATTGAAGTTATAAATTACTGTTAAAATAAATATCTGTTAAGTGTGTGTAATGATTATTGAACTGGTTATTACATTATGTTCATTCTCCATTTAATTCCAAGCAGGATTCCAACCTCGTTGTTCAATTATTTACAATTAAATCCAATGTCTACAGAAAATCAACACAATTACATATTTAAATATAATTTTTCATATAATTGTATTAAATATGTAATTGTAACATAGATCATATATATGCATATACATATACTTTCTATAAATATTTCAAATAAAATGATCAAGAAAATGGAATTTGTTATTTATAAATTTAAATATATTTGTTCTATTAAAAAATCTATAATGTTAATAATTAAATAACCTATATTAATTTAATTTAAAATCAACTTACTGGAGAACCGGGTTCACCTTTACTTCCTCTTTTTCCCCTTTTACCTCGAGGTCCTAAAATTGATTAAAAAGTAATAAATTGTAAATTTAGGCTGTTTTAAGAATAAAAAAATCAATTTTGATTATTTACTTTTAAAATATTTGCCAATTAGATCTATCTGAATATTAATAAAGTAAATATTCATATTGTTAATCTTGCAGAAATTAGTTTAGTCTTCTATTTACAGTAATTGATGTATAAAGTACATGTAAATAAAGTAAATGGAAAGCAGATTGCTTATGAACATATGATTGATGAATGTAACAGATGCTATGCTATACCTAGGTATTTGTTTATAAAATGACAATATTTACTGAGATCAGTAACAAGCTAACAGAATAGTTTATCAGTAACATTAATATCCTTTATTTAGCTTTTCAATAAATTTACTACAAATTTTAGAATTTTGTACAGAAATATTTTCTGAATATATTTAAAAATTGAATTATCTTTCTTATTTACAATAACTTTTCATTTTTACAACAGTGGAACTCATTCATAAATTATTTCTGAAATTGATTTAAGTGTAAGACTTATTTTAATGTATTTAACAATATACAAATACTAGTTTAAAAACTACAATTAACTGATTACTAAAGTCTTTTTTAAATTAATGGTAATGAATAAATAATAAATATTTTATACACAGTTTACTGTTATGTTTAAATAATGGAATATTAACATAACTTATTGTTTTTTAAACTTTTCTGGACAGATTTTTACAGTGGCTCACTCAAGATTTAATCTGGGAAGCCGAGTTGAATAGACAAAACATTTTTTAATGCAAATGCAATAAATTTCCACCTTATGTGACTGCTAATTCATAAGTAACATAGAAATAGAAGACAGGGCACAGTATAAATAAAAATTGAAATTTAGCTAGGAAAATATGTATGGAAAATTTACTAGTGTTTTTTCCTTTTATTTGGATGGTGCCAGGCCCTTTAGCCCCTTCCATCACAAAATATAGTGGTTCCCATCTGGGTGCACCATAGGATTTTTATGTAGTAGTAGATGCTTGCATTGTAATGCTTGAATGGCAAATGATAATATACAATTGGTGCCAAAATACAGTAGAGTTTATTATTTGGTAAAGTGAACAGATATCTCGTATTGTAGGGGACTGTTCCATATTTTGCACCTCAGTCCCATGTTCCAGGTTTTCCCGGGAAAAATATCTTGTATTTCGAAGAATATCAGGAAATTATGTTCAGAATCTCAGTTCATTTTAAAACATGCATATCTGTAAGTAAACAATTGCTACCATTCATTAATTGTTATTGTTATAGATACAGAAGTGAGGCCTTAGGCCTATAAAATTTTTGGAATCATGATCCTTCTAGCTGGAACTGGGCACCTTGTTACGTAACAAGGCAGACTGTTGTTGAGATAATAATAATAGTTAATAAAAACAAATGTATGATTTTTGGAATTATGATCTTCCTATTTTTATATTTGACATGTGTATGCAATCAAGTAAGAATGATGGGTGCAGGTTGAGAACAGAAGAGAGCGCTAGGTGTCCCGTAATGGCTGTGCCAAAATTGGGTCAGTTTATTTTAGGTGATTTGTATTTAACAAATTATCTAAAAGTAACTTTTACTCAAAATACTATGCATGCAAGTTAAAAACTGCCTAGTATAAAGACAGTTTGTAACTAGCCTGTATACTGTAGCCTGTATGCATTTTAACTAACAACTTAGCATACTTCCCTCCATTTTTAGCACAAACTTAAGATTAAAAAGTCTTGCAAAAAAAATGTTTAGAACTTTATGTTGACAATTATGCCACCCAATAATTTTAATTGTAAGGCATAAATTAAAATGCCTTACAATTACAAACCCATAGGTTTTAATTGGCATAGTTAAGAAATTTTCTTACTCAATGCTCAAAGCAAATTGTCACATGTTAATATGTTAAGACTGAGTTTCAAGGATAGCACACCACAAATGCTCAGCAGCTAAGTGCGTAGGCCAATGACAGAGCCCGTCTCATATGAAACAAACTATGTCATTGGCTTGTTACTTAGCTACTTGTCACTTGGAAGCATGCCGAGTGACAAGGTGCTAAGTAAATGTACCAATATTTTGTAAATGATTTTAAATTTTTATTTAACAAAGATACATGCATAGCTTGTCGCTTGAGGAATTAAATTTCGTATTCAAAAATGCACTTGATGAACACAAAGAATATCCTTATAAAATACCATAACAGATGGCACCACCAAAATTTTAAATGTTGATTATATTCGCCGGGTTAAATTCAACTAAAAACCAATATAATGAAATAATAAAAAATTGTTAAATATGGCATAATAAATTTAATGAATTCTATTGTAAAATCATCATTCATTTGTAAAAAAATCCGTCAACGAGTTGCTTAACTTTCCCGGCAACATTTAAAATTTTGGTGGTGCCATCTATTATGGTATTTTATTTTTAAAAGTTTTATATTTTTAATTATTATAAAATGGCAAAAAGCTTCGTTTTGAGAGTAGGAATAGGTTTTATAAAAAATTGTGAATACTGTACTAATAACGAGTAAAATCGTCATTAAGTCCGACACTACTCGAAATATGACACACGACCCCCTCTATTTCCCACCATTTCGACCTTTAACCAACAAAATTTAATATCATCAATTCACCTAAGACACAAACCGTTCCTCAAAATTTCAGAAAATTTTCTACAAAAGATACAGGAGTTATTAAGCTTCAAAGAGAGTGAACAAAATCGTGTCCCCATATAAACACACACACACATCCAGTAAAAAATCCACACACATACATACAGTAAAAAATTGAAAATTGACTATATTTTGATATAAATTTCAAAATATGCTTATTTTTAAAATTCGCTTTGTAGGAATCTTTTTCCATGGCCATTATAATAGCCAGGCCCACACCTGAGACAGCCGAGTGGTAAGCTGACTTATTCAGAATAGATTGCCCGTGAATGATCCACCATAGGTGCCAAATTTGAAGAATAAAAGTAATTTTTATCCTTTGACTTTAGGATGACACCACTTAAATTATTATTGGGGGCAAAACAGGTTCCGATCCCATACAGTTGGCATTCACGGGGTCCTCAAGAGTGGCAGGCTGTCGCAGTAAGTCCAGTTGTCAAAGGACACACCCAATTTATCCGAGTTAACCGCTCGATAAAATTTCCGAACCAACCCAAACTATAACCCGAGTACTCCAGAAAATTTTAATTGGTATTTTAACAACTTCGGTCTTTCGACAATCAAAACAGCACTGATATAATAAATTCTTAGATTTGATTTTTAAAAATTTCGGAATAATCAGCTTTCAGATTCTTACCGCTAAATTAAAATTAAATTCAATCTACCGCTTTGGGATATCTGGGATCGAATATGGGTGGAGAACCCCAAAAATTTTTCATGGGCATTCTGTCCCAGTCATATCAGGCCACATCCCACATCACCCGACTACCTCAAATAAATGGTCGAGCGGTTAAGGCACTCTAGAGAACTCGTAATCGAATCTGCACGGGTCTACTCCCAGGAATTTTTCCAGGGTAGTCCATTTGGATACGTTGGACCCGTTCCTTACATATTGTGGGCCTGACCGAACTCATGATGGGCCTAGAAAAAAGGCCCTCTTAGTTCTCACAGGACGAAAATAATAATATTTTAAATGAAAATAAAATAAAATAGTATATAAACTGGTATAGATCTCATGCGGATTAAAAAAAAAAAGTTTATTTGAACCACATTTCATCCGCGAATCCTTCTTCAAATATATCATTTAAAGATTTAAATGCTTTTGTAAAGTAGGAGAGAAAAGTTTAGCAATTGTACTTAAACAAACATTGCTGGAAATCAAGATTCACACTCGACTATTTAAATCCCATACCGCCACAAGAGGTAATTACACTTTCAGAACAAATTGTTTACTGAAGGTCTACTAACTTAATTTTCATTTAAACGTTTGAAGAATTACAGATTGTAAATGTCATATTTTATATGAGCAGCGTTCAATTAAAGCACTGTTGTTGTTCATTATAAATTTCTTTTTAACTAATATAACAAATTAATTTAAACGATAATTAAAGCGATTAAAAATTTGTTATCAGAAGTCTTTTATGTGTTTTATATCTCTACTTTTTGCAATATTTGCAATCTAGCTTTGCACAATTTACAATATTAAGCAGCAAAAGAAGGTATTGTGTTTTAACTAAAAAATAATTTTATTATTTTTCAGTTTTAAATTTAATTTGTACCTCGCCAACAGGCTGGCCAAGTGGAGTTTTCCGGGTTTTTTCACTTTAGTAACATCTAAATAGGAGCCAGTTTTTAATAAAAGATCTCCCGGGAGGTCCTCCCTCGGTTTGTTTGTTAAGTTATGGCAACGCAACACTTGGGCGATCTGCCTAGGGGAATGCCTTCCGGGAGGTCTTTTTAAGGGATACTGGCCCACATTTAGGCGTTACAGACGTGGAGAAAACTCGTAAAACTCCACGTGGCCAGACCGTCCGAGAGCGGAGCGAACCCAAGACCGAATTTTTAGTGTTCAGGGACGGAACCGCTTGGTCACTATAAGTCCCTCGCCGGTATGTCTCTTTGTCATATAACGAATAAAACCTAAAACCTAATAGTAGATGGTCATGGAATCACGTCTGACAGGTTGGCCACGTATTTTCTGAGTTTTCTTCACGTATTTAACACCTAAATAGCGTCCAGTTTCCTATTGAAAGTCCTCCCGGGAGACACTCCCCTTGGCAGATCACTCGTGTTGTGTTGCCTTATCCCATCACTCAACTTCATTCGCCATTATTGAAAAACGACTTTACAAGTAAAACCGATTTTTTTACATCAAAAATTCATTTTCATGCGATGACGCCTACTTAATTTTAGAACTTTATAATGTTATAAAATAGTAAACTTTTTCTATAAATCGCGTTACAATAATCGCTTCTCCTATCATAATATATATACATTTAATATGTACAGTACCATGTATGGTGCNTCATTATTTCTTCCTTTATTTATT